AAAGTTCAGTAAATCAAAGTTCAGTATTATGGTGTAAGAATGACAACATATCCACGTGTTCTAGTCTACTAATAATAAAATTATAATAAAAAAAAACATATTTAGTATTTACCAGAAATGTTATTTACCAGAATTTATTTAGGAGAAAAATGTAAATGTGCAGTATTTCTGAAAAAAAAAGAAAACTTTATTTTATTTTTATAAAATCAATTAATTGGAGATGCTTTTGACTATCACAATTTAATGGAACCATTAAAATGGAATCCAGAAAATAATGGAAAACAGAATTTGGTAAAGATAAAACTGTAAAACTCAATTAATTAGACAGGCTTTTTGATTAATACAATTTAATTTAACCATTAAAACAGAGTATAGAAAAATGAAAATGGGGAAAAAAAACTGAATTTGGAAATAAAACGGATTTCATAGGGCCCTTATAATTTTAATAAATTTTTTTGTGGTAATAAAAATAGATGCAAGTTAACAATAGTCTTTAAAATTACTTAAAATACATATATAATAGCAATGAGGCAATAATAATTAGTTCAAATAAATGATTAAAAGCAAGAAATAATACGGTTGTATTGAACAAAATTGTTAAAATACATAATATTAGTATTATAAATATATATAATAGTATTATAAACAATAGAGCTAATGTACATTACGCATTACAACAAAGGCCTGCAGAGGGCACCAACAGCCTGATGATTGTTTTTACACATTGCTGTGCGATCTTATACTTGTTTAATATTGACCAAGCACCATTTCATTTAAATGTCCACTTAATCTTTAATTTACCCATTTCTTTAGGACAGAAGTGCTATAGCCACTGTAATTAAATGAATATGTGGACATCAAAACGTGTAAACTCAGAGTGAGGGTTTGAGCACTTATTTTGAAACCGCGATGTATTCTCCGGAGTTTGCGTAGATTTATAAATGATTTATCTTACAAATCTGATGAAATGGCGCACGTTGCGTTCCCAGATGAACATTATAATAAACCCAAACTCGCAACAACATGCAGAGATAGCGTTTGAGCCGCTCCACACACATGTAAATGATAACAGTTCCTGTGGAACTACTGTGAAGGGAGCCGCTGTGTGATGCATGTACTAAATCTACACGCATATAAATAATTAAAGCGCATATACTGTACTAGAACTGCATCGCATATAATTATTTAATTAAATCATAGCATTTGTGAATTCACAACTATGCTTAATAATGATTTTTAAATGGGTTTAATATACCATGCAGCCTTGGAAAACAGTCTAATAATGTGTTCTATGGATTCTCGTCCGTGAAATGCGCCACTTCCGGTATTTTGCCGGTTAGTCGAGGATTTTTAAAAATCGAATAGTCAAATCAAATTGACGAATCGCGACAGCCCTAGTTAAAAGGAACACATTTATGGTTTGGTACCAATGAAGAGGTAGTTGACCTTTACTGATGGGGCTGTGGATGTAAAAAAAAAAGTTAGGAAACACTGATCTAGAAGTTGGCTTTCACAAGAAAGCAGAAGTAATAGATGCTTCTGGGGCATTTTGGTTCTCAAGTCATTAAAAGGCATTAGACAAATGAGAGATGATGTAAACAAATACACATGAATGGATATTCACATGCAGTTCATTAAACATTAATGGGGGTGAGAGGCATGAGGTCACAATCAGGATCAGGTTACGCTACCTGCACGTGACAGGGCAGTCTTTGACAACTGCAGCTGAAGCAGTTCCTGTCGAAGTGAGCCTGCTCACAGTGAACAGGAGGAAGAGACAGATTAAATCAGGTCTTATATCAGATCAATCTGACATTTCAAACATTTAACTGTAGGACAAGGCCAGCTGACAAGAAATGTTACTCATGCACTCTGAAGTTGTCTCAAATTACTCTTTCAAAATTGCAACCCTGCTTAAAAAAGAAAACTGAGTTTTGGTCTCCTAATCTGGTCACAAAGGTCTGCTTTTAGTCAGGAGCAGTCCATTTTTCAACTTGTCAGAATGAGAATTCTCCATGTCCACCAGCGCAGCTGTGAAACCAGTTAAGACCAGCAAACCATCGTAGGCTGGTTTAAAGGCACAATATGTATGTTTTCGCCGCTAGAGGGCACGTATTCAAAACAAACAAAGAAACAGACGTAGTTTGATGATGCCGTGACTGAGTGTGGAATCATGGGAGTTGTCGTCTTCATCTCCACAGCCGATGATATCCGACGGGACTCGGGCAGACATCATGTTCATGGATGAGTTAATGATTTATTAACGTAGTAGAAAGAAGCAGGGTGAGGCTGAAAGCCGTCGAAGCGAAACGAGGCCGCTGAACGAGCGCGACACGTACGGCTCGAATGCAGCGGAGCTTTTATTATGCCACAGTTGACTGCTTCCGCTCCTTCCGGTCGTGAGTATGTGTGGTAAAGCAGCGCTGTTTTATCATACTAGTAGGGGTTGCACCGAATAATCGACTTCAACGCTCTGCCATGACGCTTTAAGCTTGACGTCGACTAGTTACTGGTCCTATAGAGGGCACAACAGGATAAGAAATCTTTAAAGGACTTTCACATTTACGCTCCGTTTCCAAACAGTTAAAATGACAAATAAATGCATACTCTAAAAGCACTCCACAAGACATGTGTGATTATATTACTGGATGCTCGAAATTGAACGGGAGAATGCACGTTTTAAACCACTTATTGTACATGCAAGTTAATCGCCGTTCTAATCTAATGCGCTGCTTCACTGTAACACACATTACAGACAGTAGCTCGTACATCACGCGCAGATCGTGCGCGCACAGAATAATTCAGCACGGAAATGTATTGTCAACACTGTTCTGTGATTTCTCAATAAAAAAAGCTTAGAAACTGAAAAGTTCAAGCATATATTTCTTAACTAAATCCCACAGCTTCACTACTAGTAGAGAAACGCTGCCAGGTAGAATTAATTCACACACGCAATCGCTCTCACTAATGCATTCATAATATGTGCTGCTTTACTGTGCTACTTTATCTGTATCTGATTTAGAACGAGCAGAAATCTGTGAGAAATATAATGACCCAAAGACAAAAGAACTGATAAAAATGAGCTGTTACAGGAGCAATAGCCATGTGGGCAGCGCTGTGTCATATGCCATAGTTGTACACAATGTGTTTGTCACAGCTCCAGACTTATTTGTTCATTAATGACGTCATCAGCGACTAATCAACTTCGACTCGACTTTCATCACATAAATGTTGACCTTAAAAAAAAATCAGAAGTCGTTCTACCCCTACATACTAGATACATTCGAAAGTTCTGTTATAATGCTACTCTGTGCGGTCGTCACCTGTCTAATAAAACACATAACATTTTAAAGCGTCTTTGGTGTTTCCATGTTTTCTACAAAACAAAACCGGAAATCGAGGGTGTATGACGTCATTGGCAGGCGACACAATGACACTATGGCCCTGTCCCAAATGGAACACTTCATGTGCACTTGCGGTCTTACGGACTTACAATGGCCGCTGCGTGTCGGTTAAGTCCACGAAACCGTAGGGTGTCCCATTTGTCATTTTAGCGTAGGCCCTGTCCAAAATGGCACCCTAAACCCTTGCGGTCTTCCTCCGAGTCCGCACTTTCGTGACGTAATGTCAGTTTGACTGTCGGGTAGAAGTCTGCTGTGGAGCTCGCCCCAGTGCGGGCTCAGCAGAAGTGTGAATCGAGGGCGCATAACGGCCGCTTGTGAGCACCCTTCTGTACGCTAAAATTACAAATGGGACACCCTACGGTCTCGTGGACTTAACAGACACGCGGCAGCCATTGTAAGTCCGTAAGACCACAAGTGCATATGAAGTGTTCCATTTGGGACAGGGCCTATGGACACGGTCTGTGTCACTAGTTAAAATTGCTTATTTCTCTGAAATTAAACATTCTTCGAAACATTTGGGATAATGCAATTATACAAATGAGCAAAATATATAACAATGTTCTAGTGTTTTTTGGACATTTTAATAGAAATATCTTACATATCGTGCCTTTAACTTTTTTTTCAGTTTGTTTTGAGCATGACATTCACACATAAGTTCATTAAGAAGATTTGACAGTCATTCAGAGAAATTACTCTCCAGCACTCGCCACAGTCTGTCCTATCACAAAAGAGACCCGTTTTTGTCACGCTTGCATTTACCGGGTGAGTATCATCAAGCCCTAGATCTGGTTTGCCTGGCGCTACACGCGCACGTGACGCGACTCTGCGCCAGAAGTGAACTGATCAAAAACTGTTTCTTCTTTAAACGGAAATCCAGTCTTCGTATTGAGACAAATAGTTGAAAGTTTAATAACTTATCTAATCTTACAGCTCGCGTGAGTAGTCCGGGAAGGCCCGGTTTTCGCGACTCCGTGACCGTGACACTTGGGCTAAATATACACGAGCAGGCGTGAGATTCTCCTTTTATGCTGCAGACTGAATAACCCTGACAGTCAATCACTTTGCTTCTACCCTTACTGCTAATGCAAAGGGCAAACAGTTTCTAAAATAATCAGTTAAATATTTTGCTTATTATGCATTCAAGTTTTTAGATGACTGGCGCTTGAAATTAGGTTAACTGTAAATGGTGATGAAATGGTTGCAGCCACATCAGCAAGACCAAATCAATGCTGTAATGCATAATTTCTATCTTTTTGCTTGAAATCGTAAAGCAAATAAATAAAGGCGCACAAGTGTCCAGCTGGTCAAAAATGTGTCACCCAAACAATGGCATGTATTCGTATTTTAAAATGTTACTTTATTTTATTGTTTAAGCATAAATATGCCAGAATATAGTGAGGTTTACGCTAACAATAAAATACTTTACCAACTATTTAAAAACAATAGTTTTAAGTAGTTTTCCAGGAAATCAATTATTCGCAATTATGCAAGTACACTGATCTTGTTCTAAAGGATATGTAACGTTAGCTGGAATAAAAGACAAGACTATTGCTTGGTGATATTTTGTCGCGTGACCATGTTTATATAGTCTGTGACAGTAGGAGGCGTTAAACTCACCCTTACTCGAACTGCTCCCACCGCGTTTCCCCTTTTTGCTTCGTGGCATTCTGACAGCCGCTCCAAAACACCGAAGCCCAAAAGAAACAGATTATACAGAACAAGAATGTGTAGACAGTCAACAGTTTATCAACAATCCCAGCCGAGAGATCCTTCCTAGAGTATCAAAATACTATGATCTGTGCCGTTTGGCCCCACGCTTTAGGCACCACCAATGAAAGGTGCGCCTTGCACCGAAATCAAAATACTTAGAGTTCAGTTTTAGTATTTACTATCTATGGTTGTCCCCAGGTAACCGATATCTAATGCCAGGTTGTGATGGTAACTGTTTTTGAAAATGTTTGGGACGGAGTATCGTGCACGTTGCTGCTCCAGATTCCACCATCTTCCCATCTGTAACGGCTTGCACACCCGGCACGCTCCTCCTCTACGGCTCACACAGAAGCAGAGAACTATGGGTAATGTAGTTTGCTGTATGATTCCACCTGAGGGCCTCAGCGAGACGTAAAATTGAGAACTTCAATTCCCACAATGATCAGCAATTCAGAAATGTTTGGATTGCACGGTCTGCTAACAAAAGTTACAGCTTTATAAACTTTTCTGTGTGAAAACAACAAGGACGCTAAACAGAACTGTCATTATACCGCGACTTTTATGGTTTTATGTTGCTAGTATTTCTCATTGAGTGAGACGGTGATACATGTGGTCGTCAGGTTTATCAACACCGGTCATAAAACCCATTCACTCTTTAACAAGTTAATTATTCACTATAACAATACTTATTTTAGTATTTATTAACTAACCAACTATTACTACTCACCAAAAAACTTAACACGCAAACCGTAACGCTTATTAATAGACAAATTGAAAGCCGTCGAAGCGAAACGAGGCCGCTGAACGAGCGCGACACGTACGGCTCGAATGCAGCGGAGCTTTTATTATGCCACAGTTGACTGCTTCCGCTCCTTCCGGTCGTGAGTATGTGTGGTAAAGCAGCGCTGTTTTATCATACTAGTAGGGGTTGCACCGAATAATCGACTTCAACGCTCTGCCATGACGCTTTAAGCTTGACGTCGACTAGTTACTGGTCCTATAGAGGGCACAACAGGATAAGAAATCTTTAAAGGACTTTCACATTTACGCTCCGTTTCCAAACAGTTAAAATGACAAATAAATGCATACTCTAAAAGCGCTCCACAAGACATGTGTGATTATATTACTGGATGCTCGAAATTGAACGGGAGAATGCACGTTTTAAACCACTTATTGTACATGCAAGTTAATCGCCGTTCTAATCTAATGCGCTGCTTCACTGTAACACACATTACAGACAGTAGCTCGTACATCACGCGCAGATCGTGCGCGCACAGAATAATTCAGCACGGAAATGTATTGTCAACACTGTTCTGTGATTTCTCAATAAAAAAAGCTTAGAAACTGAAAAGTTCAAGCATATATTTCTTAACTAAATCCCACAGCTTCACTACTAGTAGAGAAACGCTGCCAGGTAGAATTAATTCACACACGCAATCGCTCTCACTAATGCATTCATAATATGTTCTTACGGACTTACAATGGCCGCTGCGTGTCGGTTAAGTCCACGAAACCGTAGGGTGTCCCATTTGTCATTTTAGCGTAGGCCCTGTCCAAAATGGCACCCTAAACCCTTGCGGTCTTCCTCCGAGTCCGCACTTTCGTGACGTAATGTCAGTTTGACTGTCGGGTAGAAGTCTGCTGTGGAGCTCGCCCCAGTGCGGGCTCAGCAGAAGTGCGGATCGAGGGCACATATCCACTGCAAAGGGGGCGCTCGCGAGCAGTGGCGGCTCGTGGGTTTTAAAATAGAGGAGGCACAGTAATTTTATTGGTCTGGGGATCCCTGCCGATTATTATTATTATTATTATTATTATTTGCTTAACCACTTTAAAATGGCTTTTTGGTTGCTTTTAGTCAGAAAACGTTAAAAAAAGCCGACACACATACAGCAAGATGATATAATTTCACTTACCTGGCCTATCACTTGAAGCAAACATCCATCCCTTCTTAAAAGTCTGTGTTAAAAGAGCCGACTGCTGTAACGTTAACCTATATCCAGCTTAGGCGTGTTCTCTCTTTATTTTTAATTTGTATATATACTGTTTGAATGACAGCTTGGTAAATCTGTTGGCATCAAATATTCAATATCGCTACTCATAAGTATTTGGTACTTTATCAGCACAGTGGGAGACGTTCAAACTAATATCACGTAATTTACGGCTCAGCAGAAGTGTGAATCGAGGGCGCATAACGGCCGCTTGTGAGCACCCTTCTGTACGCTAAAATTACAAATGGGACACCCTACGGTCTCGTGGACTTAACAGACACGCGGCAGCCATTGTAAGTCCGTAAGACCACAAGTGCATATGAAGTGTTCCATTTGGGACAGGGCCTATGGACACGGTCTGTGTCACTAGTTAAAATTGCTTATTTCTCTGAAATTAAACATTCTTCGAAACATTTGGGATAATGCAATTATACAAATGAGCAAAATATATAACAATGTTCTAGTGTTTTTTGGACATTTTAATAGAAATATCTTACATATCGTGCCTTTAACTTTTTTTTCAGTTTGTTTTGAGCATGACATTCACACATAAGTTCATTAAGAAGATTTGACAGTCATTCAGAGAAATTACTCTCCAGCACTCGCCACAGTCTGTCCTATCACAAAAGAGACCCGTTTTTGTCACGCTTGCATTTACCGGGTGAGTATCATCAAGCCCTAGATCTGGTTTGCCTGGCGCTACACGCGCACGTGACGCGACTCTGCGCCAGAAGTGAACTGATCAAAAACTGTTTCTTCTTTAAACGGAAATCCAGTCTTCGTATTGAGACAAATAGTTGAAAGTTTAATAACTTATCTAATCTTACAGCTCGCGTGAGTAGTCCGGGAAGGCCCGGTTTTCGCGACTCCGTGACCGTGACACTTGGGCTAAATATACACGAGCAGGCGTGAGATTCTCCTTTTATGCTGCAGACTGAATAACCCTGACAGTCAATCACTTTGCTTCTACCCTTACTGCTAATGCAAAGGGCAAACAGTTTCTAAAATAATCAGTTAAATATTTTGCTTATTATGCATTCAAGTTTTTAGATGACTGGCGCTTGAAATTAGGTTAACTGTAAATGGTGATGAAATGGTTGCAGCCACATCAGCAAGACCAAATCAATGCTGTAATGCATAATTTCTATCTTTTTGCTTGAAATCGTAAAGCAAATAAATAAAGGCGCACAAGTGTCCAGCTGGTCAAAAATGTGTCACCCAAACAATGGCATGTATTCGTATTTTAAAATGTTACTTTATTTTATTGTTTAAGCATAAATATGCCAGAATATAGTGAGGTTTACGCTAACAATAAAATACTTTACCAACTATTTAAAAACAATAGTTTTAAGTAGTTTTCCAGGAAATCAATTATTCGCAATTATGCAAGTACACTGATCTTGTTCTAAAGGATATGTAACGTTAGCTGGAATAAAAGACAAGACTATTGCTTGGTGATATTTTGTCGCGTGACCATGTTTATATAGTCTGTGACAGTAGGAGGCGTTAAACTCACCCTTACTCGAACTGCTCCAAATTAAACATTCTTCGAAACATTTGGGATAATGCAATTATACAAATGAGCAAAATATATAACAATGTTCTAGTGTTTTTTGGACATTTTAATAGAAATATCTTACATATCGTGCCTTTAACTTTTTTTTCAGTTTGTTTTGAGCATGACATTCACACATAAGTTCATTAAGAAGATTTGACAGTCATTCAGAGAAATTACTCTCCAGCACTCGCCACAGTCTGTCCTATCACAAAAGAGACCCGTTTTTGTCACGCTTGCATTTACCGGGTGAGTATCATCAAGCCCTAGATCTGGTTTGCCTGGCGCTACACGCGCACGTGACGCGACTCTGCGCCAGAAGTGAACTGATCAAAAACTGTTTCTTCTTTAAACGGAAATCCAGTCTTCGTATTGAGACAAATAGTTGAAAGTTTAATAACTTATCTAATCTTACAGCTCGCGTGAGTAGTCCGGGAAGGCCCGGTTTTCGCGACTCCGTGACCGTGACACTTGGGCTAAATATACACGAGCAGGCGTGAGATTCTCCTTTTATGCTGCAGACTGAATAACCCTGACAGTCAATCACTTTGCTTCTACCCTTACTGCTAATGCAAAGGGCAAACAGTTTCTAAAATAATCAGTTAAATATTTTGCTTATTATGCATTCAAGTTTTTAGATGACTGGCGCTTGAAATTAGGTTAACTGTAAATGGTGATGAAATGGTTGCAGCCACATCAGCAAGACCAAATCAATGCTGTAATGCATAATTTCTATCTTTTTGCTTGAAATCGTAAAGCAAATAAATAAAGGCGCACAAGTGTCCAGCTGGTCAAAAATGTGTCACCCAAACAATGGCATGTATTCGTATTTTAAAATGTTACTTTATTTTATTGTTTAAGCATAAATATGCCAGAATATAGTGAGGTTTACGCTAACAATAAAATACTTTACCAACTATTTAAAAACAATAGTTTTAAGTAGTTTCCAGGAAATCAATTATTCGCAATTATGCAAGTACACTGATCTTGTTCTAAAGGATATGTAACGTTAGCTGGAATAAAAGACAAGACTATTGCTTGGTGATATTTTGTCGCGTGACCATGTTTATATAGTCTGTGACAGTAGGAGGCGTTAAACTCACCCTTACTCGAACTGCTCCCACCGCGTTTCCCCTTTTTGCTTCGTGGCATTCTGACAGCCGCTCCAAAACACCGAAGCCCAAAAGAAACAGATTATACAGAACAAGAATGTGTAGACAGTCAACAGTTTATCAACAATCCCAGCCGAGAGATCCTTCCTAGAGTATCAAAATACTATGATCTGTGCCGTTTGGCCCCACGCTTTAGGCACCACCAATGAAAGGTGCGCCTTGCACCGAAATCAAAATACTTAGAGTTCAGTTTTAGTATTTACTATCTATGGTTGTCCCCAGGTAACCGATATCTAATGCCAGGTTGTGATGGTAACTGTTTTTGAAAATGTTTGGGACGGAGTATCGTGCACGTTGCTGCTCCAGATTCCACCATCTTCCCATCTGTAACGGCTTGCACACCCGGCACGCTCCTCCTCTACGGCTCACACAGAAGCAGAGAACTATGGGTAATGTAGTTTGCTGTATGATTCCACCTGAGGGCCTCAGCGAGACGTAAAATTGAGAACTTCAATTCCCACAATGATCAGCAATTCAGAAATGTTTGGATTGCACGGTCTGCTAACAAAAGTTACAGCTTTATAAACTTTTCTGTGTGAAAACAACAAGGACGCTAAACAGAACTGTCATTATACCGCGACTTTTATGGTTTTATGTTGCTAGTATTTCTCATTGAGTGAGACGGTGATACATGTGGTCGTCAGGTTTATCAACACCGGTCATAAAACCCATTCACTCTTTAACAAGTTAATTATTCACTATAACAATACTTATTTTAGTATTTATTAACTAACCAACTATTACTACTCACCAAAAAACTTAACACGCAAACCGTAACGCTTATTAATAGCCAAATTCACTCTGCAAATATAGTCAAAATCTAAAATTTTCTACTTAAAGGTGGAGTAGGAGATCTTGGAAAATGCTAACTTTAGCCTGATAGCACCAAAGAGTATAGAAGACCAAGAGACGAAACTCCATAGAACGTTCCATTGCAACAGCGGCGCCCAGCAGCAGCCCTGCGCTTCCGCCATTTTGGGGTGAAAGCGACTCGGCAGTCCACTAGATTCTATCTGTCGCAATGGCAAATATCAGCTGCTTTGTTTAAAAACCCGTACATTAAGGCTGAAATACAGCCTGAACGATGACAACAATGTCGTACAATCCCTAGACTAGTGATCATCAAATCCCTCTAACAGTTAATTTTACAGATTTTATTTTAAAGTCTTCCCTTTTTCACAAAACCTTTTGCTCTCTAGAAACCATGTCAGTTTCGGTTGAAAATATTTTAAGTTCAAGTGTTAGCATTATTAACACTGAATTAATACCAACATATTAAAATCATGCACACTTCTAAGGAGCTGGTTATCTGAATCGGGTGTGTTAAAGGGGTCATATGATGCTGCTAAAAAGAACATTATTTTGTGTATTTGGTGTAATTAAATGTGTTTATGCAGTTTAAGGTTAAAAAAAAACATTATTTTCCACATACTGTACATTATTGTTGCTCCTCTATGCCCCGCCTTTCTGAAACAGGCCGATTTTTACAAAGCTCATCGGTCTGAAAAGCCAGGTGTGCTCTGATTGGCCAGCTATCCAGTACCTTGTGATTGGCCGAATTCTCAAGCGCGTGACGGAAATTGCCCCTTAAATTATTGTGATGCCTTACCATATTGTGATAACTCATTATAAACCAGGCATTTGTTGCATCCAGTGGGGACATAATTACGGATTATAATGACTTATACTGTCTTTTTACGCGTTGCGTTAACATTAAACCATGTCTGCATTTGTGATCGGAGAAATGACAAACAACAAGCGCTACTCTACACTGCGATGACGTATCCTGTCTGCGCGAACCGGGTGCGCAGAGGTATGCTAATACATACCTTGACAGGCAGGTGTGAAAGCCAATTAAAACACTCGGACCGAGCGTTTTGATTGGACGAACATTTCTTGGTCCTATGCCTTCCACAGATTATATAAATACAGATTTAATAATATACATTTATTTAACAAATACATTTAGACCACTTAACTTAATGATTGCAATCGGGATGTGAAGAGACTTTCAACCAGCATAACAAAAAATGTTTCTGAAGACAATCACCTATTGCACCTTTAAGTTAAAGAATTTACTTAAAATCACAGCCCACAGTACAAACACAAACCATACCAAATTGTTGACTGCTAATGTAAAAGTGTATATACTTTAAAAGAACAACCAATCAAGTAAAAGTTTATAAAATTATATAGAATAAATGTAATTATTTAATCACATCCCAAAAAGAAGCATAAATGGAAATGTTCTTTCGGACAGAAAGACTTCACAGTGATGTGGTCTAAAGTTAATTATATTAACAATACTACCGCATGACAACCTACTCCTGAGAAATTAGGCACTTTTCTAATACAGTTTATTTCATTCAGATTAGCTTTGTTAATTATTTTATCATCGTACATCATAAAGTTATGACACTAAAACAGTACACCGGCATAAAATGAACCATATATGTGGCAAACTTAGGAAAAAAGGAATCCTAGTCAGTAGTCTTTAAAACAGATGTCACCTTCCCAAACTCAAACTAACATTTTAAGTGCTCTATGTTAGACACACACACACACACAGAAACAATGTCCTGAAATTCCATTTGATTTGAATTTCTAGTGAAGTGGCCAAAATGTTGTGCAATTATAACAGAATGTCCTGGAATGTAATTTAAATGGAAGTAAATTATGTTTGTGTTTAAAGTTTGCATTTGTGTTTGCATTATGGAATGCTCGATGTTGACATGTCTCTCAGGCTTTACATAATCTCTAATGTTGGTCTCCATTCCAGCGGGAATCCAGTGGCAGTGATCTCCACTGCTAAATAAGACCAGACAGATCTACGACAGACCCTCTCATAAATACAGACGCTTTTATGATCAGTAGGTCTACTGGCCCATGTAGTACTTGGTGGGCACGAATGGCATCTTGCTGACCACTGCTGGCACTGCTTTCTTCCTCACTTCCACCTGGATTGATGTGCCCACTTTACTGAAGCCAGCTTCAACGTAGCCCATGGCAACATTTTGTTTGAGGCAGGGGGAGGGGCATCCACTGGTGACCTCCCCTTAAATTAAGTAGACCAGATAGAGTTTGGAATGACATGAGGGTGAATAAACAATGATTTTGAACTATTCTGTTAAACACAAATCCGTTTGTTACCTATAACCCTGCCTTCAGATGACAGGATTGGTGTGTGCTGTCTGACAGGTGGTCCAGTGGAGATCAGTCCCACTCTCTTTCTCTGAGTCTTTGCCTTTATTTGAGGAACAATGATGTCAGCACCAGGGAAATCTTGTGCCTGTCGACGACGCTTACCTTAAAACACACACAAATACATTAGCATTCAATATATATGCATGGGAAGTGATAATAAAAGTGTCGACGCACCTATAGTCCAAACAAGACTTGCTTCCACAGGTGTGGTGGTCTCATCAATGTCATTGCCGTAGAGACAAAGTCCTGCCTCCAGCCTCAGACTGTCTCTGGCACCGAGACCAGCGAGTTTCACCTCACTATCAGCTAACAACTTTTCAGTCAGTAAAACAACTTCTCCACTTGGTACTGAGATCTGAATAAATCATATGTAAATACAACAGCATAAATATTACAGACATGCCTCATTACAACCACACACACACACACACACACAAAACAACCTCTCAAAAAGAAAGCTTTCAAAACTAGTCTCTTATAATCACCAAGGCTTCATTTATTTGATCAAAATACAGTAAAAACAGTAATATTGTGAACTATTATTGCAATTTAAAGTAACTTTTCTAATTATTCCTGTGACTGTAAAGCTGAATTTTTAGCAGCCATTACTCCAGTCTTCAGTGTCACATTATCTGTCAGAAATCATTCTAATATGTTGATTTGGGGGCTCAAGAAACATGTACTTTTATTATCACTGTTAAAACAGTTGAGCTAATATTTTTGTAGAAACCATGATATATTGTTTACTTTGATGAATAGAAACTTTAAACAAACAACATTTATTTGAAATAGAAATCTTTTGTAACATTGTCTTTACTGACACTTTTGACCAATTGAGTGCATCCTTGTTAAATACAAGTATTAATTTAAAAACCTCAAACTTTTGAATAATAGTAAATAATTTCAGTATAGTTGTCATACAGTCAGATGGAGATCACACACCTCAACTCCATCCTCCCCTGTATATCCGCAGCGTGTGACCCTGCAGCCCTGGATGCCAAACACTGGGGTCAAAACACTGGTCATAAAGGTCAGCTTCCTGAGGTCATCACCCACACCTTTCTGCAGAACCTGGGCCATTGATGGACCTGCATACAACATGAATATACATATAATTATTGCCGAAACGAATGCCCCAAAAATGTACATAATGCATTTAAATAACACACACACCAATGTATTAGAAAAATATAAAGCAGGAATGTGGGCAGTATAACCATGCAAGTATACCACAGACCCATGACTTACCCTGCAGAGCAATGAGACTTTCTTCCATGAACTCCAAATCTACATCATGACCTGCTGCTTTAAACTCCTGAAGTCTGGCCTACAAACAAACACACATACATTTGAACAAACACATGTGTAAGCAAATAAATATATACAAATAAAAATGATTAACAGACTGACTGCATTAAAAAAAAAACAGATTTTCACACAATAGTATTATTTTAAAAAAACTGGAAATGAAAAATGTTAAGGTATTTTGACGCCCCCTTGTGGTGTCAAATATTTCCCCAAAAATATTTGAATCCCTGATCAATCAGAATCAAGTAAATGAATATGTTTAATGATCATAAACTGTTACTGGCCTGCATACGAGCAGAGTCTTTGTCCGCACAACCAGCATTGGAGACAACATACACGTAACCCTGATCTGTCTTGGTCACAATCAGATCATCCATGATTCCTCCTTTAGTGTTTGTGAAGAGAGAGAGAGTGCCCTAGACTAATTCTGCTTTCCCTGCAAAACAAGGAGCGTAACTTCAGGGAATCCTGGGAAATGTAGTTGAAATTCCTAACGCACACGTGCTGTCGAGCAACTCCCCGCAGCCACTTCAAATGACTCTTCTTTGCGATAAACGATGGCGCATATATTTGGGTAGAAATTTTTTTCCATTTATACATTTGGCAGACGCTTTTATCCAAATGTGACTTCCATTCACAATACATTTAGATTTTTATAAAAATGTGTATTTTGAATGCAGTGTAATTAATAAAAGCTATCAAACTCAAACTTTATCATTTACTGCCTCCAGTAGTCGGTTTACAAATAATATGATATATTTCAACAGAAAAGAGCCAATAAGAACAAAAGGTGTGTTTGCATTAGACATTTTAATATATCTACCAATACTTGGTCCTTATATTATATAGCACTAACTAAACAAACAAAAAAAACGATATTTTGAATTCTTTCATAAAAAAAATGATCACAACAACAAAAATCATAATCTTTAACTAGTCATTTAATATAACAAGTAAATATCAGATCAGTATACACTCATTTAATTTTCGGATTATACGGTAGTAACACTTTGTTCATTTTTCGTTGTGATTCGTCATAAGAGCCTCGTTTTCGCGTTCGGTCTGAAACATCCTTCGTTCGCTCGAGAGTCGGACTCCGCTGGTCGTGCAATGCGTGCAGTTTTGATCCACCTAAAGGAACCGACTCATACGAGTCATTCGCTCAGGATTCGATCACACGCGTGATCTGACAAAGAACCTGGCCCCAGTTCCCAACGCTAGCTAGCTTACAAAACAAAGTCGCTTAGTTTGTTAGAAATAGTACACATTTTAAGTCGTAGTCTTTATATTACCCCAAGACAAGTTAAGAAATAATGGATATAAGAACACATTCCTCCTATTAAGCTGCATATTAAGCCATTTTCTTCCGATATAAAAGTTTTAATACCTGTATCACAATATACACAAAGTCTGCATGTAACTGAATGATTGTTTGGCCCCAAATCTATAAATAAGCGTTCTTCTCGTCCATGAGGCAGCAGCTATTTTGGGTCTGGGGATTTTGAGCAGTGTTTAGGGGTAGAGGAGCCAGGCGGACGAGACGGACACAGATCGCTTCAGACCGTTCAGATCACAGCGGTTTCACTGCGTTTTCTCGAGTGTTTGTCAACAACACAACGACGCACAGACGTCTACTAGCGTTTGATGAAAACAATCTGAGGGTAAGTAACCTATACACGGGCACAGGCATCAACAGTTAGTCACTAAGAAATCCTTTTCAGTTTAGTTTGTGTGTATTTGGGCCATAGTAGAGACATCAAACTGTTGATATGAGATCACCTGCTTCTGATTTCACTTCAATCTATTCAGCCAAAATTCATCTGAGACTAATCACATGGTTTCAGGTTTTTTCTGTTGTTAAACGGGAGATGTTTGATCCATGAAGTGCGCTGTTCACTGTCTACATCTGAGACATGTAAGGGGCTGAAAAGAGTTTTTTGGTGGTGAACAGTACCAACCAACCAAACAAATGTCCATGTTTATTTAATATCAAACATTGGACATTTAACATCACTGCTGTTTCCAGACTTCAACTGGTTTTCAATAATGTTTGAGATAAATATAGCTGTTCAAAAGCAACAGCAATATACACTCTTAAAAATAAAGGTGCTTCAAAAGGTTCTTCAAGCGATGCCATAGAAGAACCATTTTTGGTTCCACAAAGAACCATTCAGTCAAAGGTTCTTAAAAGAACCATCTCTTTCTTACCTTTTTATAATCTGAAGAACCTTCTTTCGCCACAAAGAGCCTTTTGTGAAACAGAAAGGTTCTTCAGATGTTAAAGGTTCTTTATGGAACCATTTAGACAAAAAGGTTCTTCTAAGGCATCGTGAAGCACCTTTATTTTGAAGAGTGTAGCCTCACACTTATTATGCACATATTTAACAAATAAAGCTGTGCTTTAACCGTAAAATGCTATGGTTTTGTCTTTAATTTAGCATCCAGTCATTAAGGGATGGGAATAGTTATTCACATATCTAAATGTCTTTAGCTCTTTTTTTTTTTTGAGGAATAGTTCACTCAAACTTATAATACTGGCATAATTTATTCCCACTCATTTCATCTAAAAACCGTAGGACTGACTTTCTTAATGGAAACACAAAATGTGAAAATCTGAAGACTGTTTTCCTTGCTCTGTCCCATGGAATTACATTTACTGGATAACTTAAATTTCAGTCTGTTTCTCACATGAAGTTATCATATGGTTTTATAAATTGCAATATAGTTCAGAAGCTGTATGGACCGCGTTCATGGTGCTTTTGATCTTTTTTGAAGCTTAAACGCTCTGGTCTCCATTCATTGCAATTGCATGGAAAAGTGAGATCAGTGCAAAATTTCTTCTTTTGTATTTTTTGGAAGACAGAGTGTCATAAGGGTTTAAAACAACTTGAGGATGAGTAAATATTGATTTTAATAATTTTTGAATCTTTGACTCAGGTTTGCATTCTCTGTCTGTTTGTCAGTGGAGGGAGTGATCATGAAGTCCACTCCTTCTCCTCCTCCAGTGTTTGTTCGTGTCAGTGAGCGTGACCTGACAGAGATCGAGCTCCATTCCGTCGACTCCATCAATGACTTGCACCGCACACACACTGAACAGCACAGCAAAGGTATTTCATCATGTCAGAGACTGTATGTATGACTTTAAAATCCTCATTGGTTTCTATAGCACTCAAACCCACTTCTCACTGGCAGGTGCTCCACCACCTCCTACCTCCAATGGGACTCTTCAGATGCAAGATCGAGGAGTTGTCTATCAAACAGGTCAACCAGTGAGAAGGCCCTGTGTGAGCAGACTGAATGACATATGCACTTCCACTAGGCGGCACTATTTTTTAGCATGTGCAGCCATTATTGCGTTCCTCCTTACTCTCATTCTTATCTTCAGTTTTTTAGGTGAGACAATCTGTTTGCTAAAGCTGAAATTATGAAATTAATGTTTTAAGGCTAAACTGAAAGAAATGTTTTGGCTTCAATACAATTGGCTTCAAATCTTGATTTCAATGTTTTTGCGTTCTCTTGCAAAAGTATCACATTCCCAGATGTTCTCTTGCAAAGCAGTCCCCCAACAAAATTTAGTGTTAATTTGGTGTTCCCATGCAAGAGTGTCCTGCGGAGAAACTTTGCATCCTTGTCGCCAAACTAACATAGGGCCTCCGTAAGGTTGTCTAAGCTGTCAAGTTGTCTAAATTGTCGTTTTTAAAGCTGGAATACGTTTCTATGCCTTACTTTAACTGCAGTTTTTGTTGTCGCTATTGTTTCCACTTGCTGTGGTAATCATCATTATTCCACTGATGCTGTCGACAGAGCTTTTTTAGAGGGCCTGCTGAATTGTTGTTTTATCAAATAACGTGTTTTCTGTTATCAACCCTCCAGTCCAGCAGAGCAGTGCTCTCCACACACTTTTGGAGACGGTTAAACAGAAAAAGGAAACCGCTGAAGAAATTTCCCAACTCTTACAAGAGCTGCAAAAGCTGCACATCAACCTCACAGAGCAACGGCCATAACAAAAATATTTCAACACAGACCCACAGGAAAAACATTACTGCACTGTGACAACACTGAGAGAAGAGCACCGATTCTTCACTTCAACACGTGTGATTCTATGTCTTAAAGGCTTCTATCGCTTCGGTGGAATCCAATATCCTGCTCAAAAACATTCACTTAGCCTCCTGATGTTTGTGCATGCAGTGTAAATGGAAAATAATGTATTAAGTAATGGACTTTTCACCAGTATTTTTTCTACACTTATATGGTTACACACTATTTGGCAACTTGCTATATTAGTTTCACTAAAGCAAATGATAATACAAAACAACACTAAGAAATATGGAAAGAATGTGAATAATCATACCTGTTATTATATTTTAATTCATTGTTATCACTCCAACAAACATTCAATTGTGATAAAAAAATTTGAATGAGCAAGAACATTCACTATGGTGAGCTTTTTTTGAGTGATTGCTGAATGATTGTAAATAATTATATAGACTAACATTCTATTTAATAAGAAAAAAGGAATTTTAAAATAAGAATAAAAATAAATGAAAATGTTCTTACATTTTGTGGGGTCCTGGTTTTATTGTGAAAGATTTACATGTGCACATTATTCCAAATTTTAAAAAAGAAAATGTCTTCGTAAACTTTCATTAAAAATATAACAACTAGATTCCTGAAATTACTTTACTTTCGCCACTGTGGGGTTATATTGCAACAGCCTGGTTCTGGAAGTAAAAATCCTATTCATTTTCTCATCAGGAAAATGACATTACTCATGATTCTGCAAAGAAATCTCCACCAATCAGAGAATCAAAAGCCAATCATGATAAAAGACTTCTTTAGTGCTCATCCACTCCCATAAAGCAATGCGAATTAAATAACAGTCTTCATACACTTACACTTGGATACACTCTTTATTTTGTACACTCTTGAGCTCTGGTCTTTGTCCGATTTTCAAAATATGTAATGTTGTGATTCGCCATACCAACACAGTAAGTAGCTGGTTGGTTTGGTTAATAGTTTACAACTTTTTCAACAAAAGATGTTTTATAAATCCCCACAGTGAAAATAAATGTAAATCAGAAAAGCGCATCTGTTCTTAGGAGATTCTTTGCTCGCAGTGTTCTCCTCTCCATCCTTCATAACAGACACACTTGAACTTTGACCTCATGTCATTGAGAGGAAGATCTTCATGGGTACCATGTAGAGGGATCATGTAACCTGAGTGAGGGTCCCGTCGAGCGCAGCGTCCCTGGTTGTTACACATTCTTATACTGCAGTTCCTCACACCGGCCTGCAGGGCGGCGACATACTCTCCTAATACTGAGCTGATGTAATCACGCAGGAGAACACACTGCCGCTGAAGAAAGACGGAAATATATATTATAGCTGCAGCAATGAGTAACAAGATATGTGCTTAAGTCTAATATTGAATATTATGCATTTTAAGTTTGTGTACTGACAGTGTTTAGACTTATCGAGAGCATTAGGTTATCACACAAAGGTAAATCCAGACTATAAATCCTCACATACAGTTAGGCCTATACTGACCTTAGACTTTGCAAAACTCAGCTCGCCCCATAACACAACTCCAGC